CTGCAAAGAGATCCTTAAAAAGTTTGGTATGGACACCTCAAAGGAAGCTAACACACCCATGGGAACTTCATGCTATCTAGACAAGGATGAATCAGGTTTGGAAGTTAATCAAACTATATATAGAGGTATGATAGTGTAGACCCCAAATCTTGCTCGGGCTCCAAATAAAGTCAGAAGATCTCCTATTTGAAGACGGCCGAAGCCTAACAAGCCACTAGGAGAGACTATTAGGCTCCCGTACCAAGATAGGAAGGTTTTTTGGCCCAAAAATAAAGTTTCTCGCCTTGAAGGGACGAGACCGCCGTCTGGGAATACCAGACCGCCGTCTCGTTTCAGCGCCAGGACGAGACCGCCGTCTCGACTTTCCAGACGGCGGTCTCGACACTCGCAAAAACGAGACAGCGGTCTGGGTTTTCCAGACGGCGGTCTCGATTCTCGCCAAGTCGAGACGGCAGTCTGGATTTTCCAAACGGCGGTCTCGACCCTGTGACATGAGCGAGACGGCGGTCTCGAATTACGAGACGGCGGTCTCGACCCTGTCAGCGAGAACGGCGGTCCGGACCCCGACAGCGCGAAAAACTATAAATAGGGTTCTCCCCCCTCATTTCCACACGTAAAAGCAAGAGATCTCCCTTCTCTCTAGATTTTCTCTCTCTAAGAATCCCTCCGAGGCATTTCCGGAGTTTCGAGCGTCTTTAGGCATAGACTCGAGCGTTCTAAATCTTCTTAAGAATCCCTCCGAGTCATTTCCGAGTTTCGAGAGTGTAGAGTGAAGGGTTGCCAAAACGCACCCTCTTTTGAATATAAAGCTTGCTTTGGAGGTGCATATCCTCATTCTCTATTCTTTAAAATTACCGTCGTTTAAATTATGCAATAAAAGCTAGGGCAATGTAGTCACATATTTAAATTCCGCATAATAAAAGGGTAAAAGCGCAATTTTCCAAGTTTGATTATTCGCAAATAGCCGGCCTATCATAGGGAACCCGAAAGGGGCGTCGTAAAGGAACTAATACTTCCTTTACACGTTGTCGCGCCGTAAAAACGAGGCGGTCTGGAGCGACGCGATGGTTTTATCGACCCTCTTGTTTTCGCGTTTTATTGGTGGTTACAACGTCCTTAGGTTGTCCGATAACCGGGCTAACCTAAAGACGAGGTTTTCGAAAGGTGTCCTTGAGTTGTCCGACAACCGAGCTAACCCAAGGATTTATTTATTTTGGGTTCTATGGAGTCGCCACCGATATTTTTACCATAAACATCGGAAAAGGGGTTTTAAAAAGGCGTTGGTTTTTGAAAACCAACTTTGGTCGTTAGAACCAGAGTTGGGTAAGGGAGTTGGTTACGTGCAAAGGGAGTATTAGTCCCTTTGCGACGCCCCTTTCGGGTTCCCTATGATAGGCCGGCTTATTTTTATTAATAAACTAGAAAAACGCACTTTTGCCCTTTTTATTCTGCGGAATTTAAAAGTATGACTACATGGCCCTAATGTCTACCTGCATAATTTAAGATAAAAGCGGTAAAGGTGGAAAGAGAGAATTTGAACCTCCGAAGCACGCTTTTTATATTAATTCTCGGAAAAATAGGGTGCTTTATGGCAGCCCTTCACTCTACAAGACGTCGGAAACCTCTTGAACGCCGAAAATCACTCTTGAAAACACTCAGAAACTCCGAAAATGCATCGGAGGGATTCTAGAGAGAAGTTTTAGAGAGAAGGGAGAGCTATGCAGCTATGGTCTGTGAAAATGAGGGGGGGAGAGCCCCTATTTATAGGTTTTCGCATCGTCAGATGGCGAGAACGCCGGCCTCGTCTCGACAGGGTCGAGACCGCCGTCTAGTCCAACGAGACCGCCGTCTCGTTCTTCACAGGAAACGAGACCGGGTCTCGGGTGAACGAGACCGTCGTCTCGTTCTTCGTAGGAAACGAGACCGGGTCTCGGGTGAACGAGACCGCCGTCTCGTTGTCGAGGTAACGAGACCCCTGGCCTCGGGTGAACGAGACCGGGGTCTCGCTTTCGTAGGCAACGAGACCCCGGCTGGGTGAACGAGACCGCGGTCTCGTTTTCAGTAGGCAACGAGACCCCGGTCTCGCTAGGACGAGACCCCGGTCTCGTTAGACGAGACGGCGGTCTCGCTTGCTACGCGAGGCGAAACGGCGGTCCGGGTCATCCGAAGGCGGTCTCGTCCCTCCGAGGCGAGAAAACTTATTTTTCTAGCCCAAAAACCTTCCTATCTTGGTACGGGAGCCTAATAGTCTCTCCTAGTGGCTTGTTAGGCTTCAGCTGCGTCTTCAAAATAGGGGATCTTCTCGACTTTATTTGGAGCCCGGCAAGATTTGGGGTCTACAGCTGCCCCCTTTACCTCGACTAGTCGATCGTTGGCCTGTTGTGCCAGCATGATCGACAGGAAGGTAAAGGAGTTGACCCTCTTGTCCTGGCTACCCTTCTGGACTGCCGTCTTGTGGCGGATGATCCTCCGGGGAGATGTTGTGGTCGTGTACCTCCGAGATACTATTTCCGACGTAGCCGATCCCTTTGGTGAACACGTGGTAGAACCTCCGGATACTACTTCCGACGTAGCCGATCCTTCGGTTGATGGGTATAAACCCCCCATCAGCCGGTACTGGTCCGTCAGTGCGGGACCGGATGGGTATGAACCCCCCATCAGTGGTGGTAATGGCGGCTTACAGTTCATGTGGCCCATGCGCCGGTTAGGCGCTTCTCGTGTGCCGGTTGATAGGTATGAACCCCCTATTCGGTTGGTACAGTCCACTGCGTAGGACCGGTGGTAGTGGCGGCTATCGCTCGGTGGCTCATGCGCCGGTTCTCGGGGAATGATTTCGTGTCTCGTGCACTTCCGTGATACTACTTCGACGTAGCCGATCCCTTCGATGGACACGTGGTGGAACCTCCGGATACTACTCCTCGACGTAGCCGATCCTTCGGCTGATGAGTATAAACCCCCCATCGGCCGGTAGTTGCAGGTCCGTTGTGCGGACTCGGATGGGTACGAGCCCCCATCGTGGCGGCACAGTCCATTGTGCGGGACCGGATGGGTATGAACCCCCATCGGGTGGTACAGTCCGTTGTGCGGACCGGATGGGTATGAACCCCCCATCGTGGTGGTAATGCGACTTACCGATCCGGCTCGAGGCGCAGCTCCCTGGAGAGTGCCTGCTTGTGTAGATTTGATCGCTTTTCGATTTCTTGAATAATCATCCGGCCATGCCGGGATTTTGTTGGTGATCAATCTGCCTTTGCTCGATTGCCGGGGTCCTTTGTTTTTGTTCTTTTGGTAGTGATCTTCCAATCCCTACTGGTTGGTTGGATGGATCTTGGTTTTGTTTGGCTTT